TTGGACGCTGAGTACGTGGTCCAAGATTTTGAGCATATACTTCAAAACCCGACATGTTTTAGCGACGTCGAACTCTCGGCAAAGCCCATCAGCCTTGTCTACAGTTCATAGCAAACAAATCAAGCTGTCGTCTGTCGTCCATTTGCCAACACGACGTTTGAGCAATGTCGGACCGGAGGTCGCCACCCGACCTCGACCTGGATTGGATTCGGGGCGGCGACCGTCGCTGAACTTTAGATCAGGTGAGCGACGGCGGCAGACGTGTTGGAGTTGGCGAATACTTCGGGGACCCTTGTTTCTCACATCGGGTACGCCCACGTGAGCTTAGGGAAACTGAAGTGTTGTCCGACGACATGTGACCCATGCGTGCGGAATACGGGGGTTCGGGCGCGCCCGACCAGTCCTTGCCGGTCGGCACGGGGGGTTCGGGGCGCGCCGCGGATGGCCCCCGCTCGCCGGTGGTGGGCGGGGCTCGGGCGGCGCCCCAAACCTCAACGGGTTTGGGTGGCCCGTATAGTGCGAGATTAAGAGATTTCATATAGGTTTAGGTTTTGGGCCCGTTTGGGGCATATATATATTTTCTCGTTTTTCGATCATTGTAACGAGTTGAGTGGTCAGTAAACCTAAAACATAGTGAAATCTCTTTGCAGGACGTAGCCCTAATTGAGGGTGAACCTGGGTAAATTCGTGCATCGTCTATTTTCTCTGTTTTCTGCGTGATCGTTCTGTTTTGGTTCTCGATACGTCCTGTCAAGACGCATGGGGAACGGAATCAATGAGGGTAACATCAACTCGAGAACGCAAACATGGGGTCGCCAAGTTTTTCTTTTTTTTTCCTTTTTTGCTTGATGAAGTTTTTTTTTTCTTTTGCTCCTAAAATCATTTGTCTTATCTTTTGAGCTTTTTAATTCCACAAATGCCACGTGGCACGCCACCTCAATGTCATTAGCCACGTCAGCTGCCCACGTAGGATCTTTTGGATAGAAAAGATAATAGTGGCCATTTCGGTTCCTTGAGGGCAAATTCATGCTTTTTTTTTTTTGTCCCGAGACTTTTGAAAAGCGGGGCAAATACATCTAGAGGGTACAAGTATGTGGTCTTTTTGGGATTTGGCCAATTTCTAGGTAATGTGGGTAAAATAAGAGATAAAGTTGTGAAAAAGATGTAACAAGAAAATAACAAAAGAGCCAAAAATTAAGTTGAATGTGGCCTAGGAATGGAAAAGCGCTTCGAAACACGCCTAAACGATGGATTTTGAGGTTTGAAATGACTGCAAATGGGAACTCCAATGCCGCTACAATATAGTGCTCGAAATGAGCGTTTCGAATTGTTATTATGGGCTGTGTAACTCCTCCCGAATCAAAAGCGAGGGTTGTTCTATGGATCGTCACAAGAATTCTTGTCCTAAACCCGCCCGTTGGATTTCTGCTTATCCGAATGCTCCGAAAAGTCTTCAATAGCTGCGGTCACATTAGTTCTTATACAAATTCATCAAGTGTCTGTTCAATGTGATTGTATTCGCATTTTGTGCATAACTAGGGATCCAAGTTTTTGGGGAGAGGCAGAATTCTATTATTGTTTCGGGGCAAAAGATGCGAAGCTTTTCTGTATTAGTAAATTTCAATGAGTGTTGGTAACAATCACCAACAATTGTTTTTTTAACTTGTCGTCAACTTATCGTCACTTTTATGAAACTATTAACTTTTGCAACTCGTAAATTATCAATTTTTACTAACTCACTCACTTTTATTTGCATAACTGATTGACGCCTTGAATTTTTTAACTCTTATACGAAATTTTCAACTTAAATTAGAGTGACTTATCAACTTTTTTCAGATTAATTTATCCACTAATTTTTGTTACCAACTCTCATTTAAGTTACTTACTAACCTTTAATGGTTTCATTTATTAATTTAACATTTTTCTATAGAGTTATTGGCTTTTAATTACCTTGGTTAGTAGCTGTTCATATTTACTAAGTTGTTTAGAGATGATAGGCCTACATTAGTGTGACTCAATAATTTTTCTACCATTAAATTACATTAGGTTTACTTACCTACGTCTATTTGTTTGCTCTCTTTTTTTTTTTTTTTGTAATTTGTCAACTTTTCTTATCGTTGACAAATTTTCGTTTGTATTTCTTAACAGCACCTAAAATTTAACAACTCTTGTTAGAGATCACTAACCACAGCTAGAGTGACTGATAAACTTCTCTCCAATTAAGTTACTGACTAATTTTGGATGACCTCTTATTTAAGTTACTTACCAAGTTTATATATCTATAAATCACAAACTTTTCTTATCTTTTATCAACTGTTATTAACTTTTGTAACTACGAAATGATATTTGGAAACTCTTATATGAAATTACTAACTTTAAGTTAAATGATTAATCAACTTTTCTTTCTAATAAGTTATCAAGTACTTTTGAATTACAAACTCTCATTTGAATTAATTATCAATGTTCATTTGGTTCTCTTTCAATTTAACAATTTTTCTATTGGATTACTTATTCGAGGAAAAAATCGATAAATTGGTCAAATAAATAGTTGATAACTTAATTGTAAAAAGAGTTGGTAAGCAAGACAAATGATAGCGGTAACTCATTAAAAACCTTGGTAACTTTTGGAAAAATCAAATAAATGCGGTAAGCAACTAAGCAACTCAAATGAGAGTTCATAACCAAAACTAATTGGTTGGTCAATCGAAAAAAAGTCGGTAGGTCGTACAAAAAATATTGGTAATTTCAAATAATAGTTAGTAAATTAAGTTGTTGGTAAGAAGGCCAAAATTAGAGTCGGTAAAAGATAGATAAGTTTTTTCTGTCAGATATAAGAGAAGTTATGTAATTAAAGAAAAATAAATGAATGTTGGTAAGTAACGCAAATAAAAGTTAGTGAAGACTTATTAGGAGAAAAGTTGGTGATCATTCTAGCTAATTGAGGTTAGTATTTTCTAAAAACGAATTGAAAATTTTGAAAAATTGGTGAGCAAGGCAAATAAAATCGATAACTCACCGGAAAAATTGGTAAATTTAAGAAAACAAAACATGTAAACATTGGTAAGCATCACAAATGATAGTGGATCTTAAAAAAGCAGCTTGCAACTTAATCGAAAAAAAGTTGGCAAGTCGCACAAATAAAAATTGACAATTTCATATAAAAATTAAAAAGCAGTTGGTAACTTGTTTGCAAAGAGATGAAAACTACAAGGAAAGAAATCATACTTATGCAAAATCACCATTACATCCTCAATCATTTTATCCTAGATTTTCCTTTGAAGGTAAAAGTTGAAAACAAAGTGAAAATTTTCACTTTGGTCCTCCAATCCATCATCCAACCATGATGATTGAAATCCTTGGGCTAGATTTTCTGATCACAACTTCACATGATTGCTTTTTCCCAAACTGAGGAATCCGAATTTGCTATCTGAAGTTTTCCCCTAGCAAGATTCTAAATTGCTCTCGCCGTCGCGCTCCCATAGTCACGGATGCACGCATAGCGACCTCGAATAGCGGATAACGGTCGTAGGATGCGTTTGGTAAAGCATTTACCCGAAGCAAAAGCTTTGAGGTAAAAGAGTTTTCACGAGATGAAAATAGTGTGTTGTTGCTTTTTAATTGAAGGATTTTCACGAGATGCAAATGGTGCTCGGTAAGCACGATTTGCATAGAGGACTTTGGTTTAAAGAAAAAGATAGAGCTTGCAAACCCACGATCTAAAGATGATTCGGGTACAATCAAGGGTTTGCAACTACAACAGCAAGTAGAGGTATCACAAAAAAAAAAAAAAATCGGGTCTTTTCGAGTCGGGTCTCTTTCGGTTCGGGTAGCAGATAGAGAAGTTCGTGCCTCGATTTGGTTTGGTTCCATCCGCGTCATAAACCCGAATCAAAACCGAAACACAATAATCACCAAACACTTACTGAAAAAATAGCTTTCTGATTTACTTTTAACCCCAATCTCTGTGTCTCTCCGTTTGAGAAAAACCTAAAAAACAAAACGACGGTGGAGACTCCATTGAAGTGCCAAAGAGAAGAAACAGAAGAAACCCACATCGACGAACAAGTCGAAGACCAAAATGAAGTGCCTCGTTGCCTTTTGAGGGTTAATTAAAAAAAAAACAGCACCAACTTTAGGTCGAGGGGTAATTTTGGTCCGAACTTTTTTTTGTTCCATAAAAAAGCATCAACTTTAGGTCGATGGACAATTATGGCCCGAACTTTTATTTGTCCCGTAAAAAAGAACCAACTTTAGGTCGAGGGACAATTCTGACCCGAACTTTTTTTTGTCTCGTAAAAAAGCACAAACTTTCACTTAAATTCCAAATCTGGCCCTTATTGACTTAAAACTATTGATTTTCCAACTTGACTATTCCACCTTAGCAATAAATCCATGTGAGTTACTGACTGGATTTAAAGCATTATTTATTGTCTTATTCATGGAAGAGATTCGCCAGGCATACCACCATAACTTTTTTTCTCAAAAAGGGTAACTTCAGACAGAAAATCAGTGTGGGGCCAAATTTGGGATTTAAATGAAAGTTGGTGCTTTTTTATGGGACAAAAAAAGTTCGGGCCAGAATTGTCCCTCGACCTAAAGTTGGTGCTTTTTTATGGGACAAAAAAAAGTTCGGGCTAGAATTGTCCATCGACCTAAAATTAGCGCTTTTTTTTTTTAATTAACCCTGCCTTTTGATGCCGAGACAGATCCCTGTTTTTACGGGACGAGAGTTCCCCTTATCACGGCAGTTGGTGCGCTGCTGTTCTACTTCACTGTTTGGGATTTGTTTTTTTGTGTGTGTGTGTGTTGAACCTCTCCGTGTATCATCTCGAGTTATAGCTAAGTTCACGAGTCCAACCTCGATAAGATGTACTCGAAATAATGCGAGATCGAGTCGAAGCTACAAACTAGAAAAGAAAAGGCAAAGTCAATGTCGAATATTTTTACATCAAAAATTTGATCCGGTGTTCCAAACGTCGTTGTTCCTTTCCGCCACGCTATTACCGACTGGGATCCCCCTTTCCACGTTCTTCCGTCTTCCTCCTCTTTTACCTCTGGTTTTTCTGCAACCTCATCATCTCGCCATCGCTCTCACCTTCAAGATGGGCCTTTCATGGAGCAACCCCAGAAGAAGAAGACGCTACCCGTACCCGCCGCCGCCGCCGCCTCCTCACCACTCCTACTACTACTCCGCCGACCCCCACCACCACCACCACCACCACCACCCTCCTCCTCCTCCTCCGCTCCCGCCGCCGCCGAGTGGCTACTTCCCGGCCCCTCCTTACCCTCCGCCCCCGCCACACCACCACCACGACCACCACCCGCCTTATCCCGCGTACCCTCCTCCTCCGCCGCTGCCGCCCTCCTACTACGGTCCGGTCTCGTACGGCGCGTGCGCCTACTCGGGTCCCGTGGTGGGTCGGGCCGGTCAACACCCGTACTACGCGAATCAGGCGAGCGGGTGGCCCGCGGCTCGGCCCGCGGCGGCGTCGGCTGCTCCCACGGTGGCCCACGTGGAGCATCATCAGAACGCCAAGAAAGTGAGGAACGTGGTGAATGTGCACAAGGACACGATCAGGGTCGAGATCGACGAGCACGACCCGGATTGCCACTTGGTGTCTTTCTTGTTCGACGCCTTACATGATGGAAGGTGCTGGATCTTTTATCTTCGCTTTCTTGGCCTCTCGTTAGATTAATGGAAATTGGTAGTTACGGTCGTTTTGGGTGATTCGCGAGTTACATTTGGTCGAGATATCTGTGGAATTACTTGGTTTTGTGCGTGATAGCTTAGAAAGAAGCGTGAGGCGAACGTGTTTGGGCTTTTCATTGGCTCGTTGTATGATGGCCAAGCGATCGAATTAGCTCGAATGTCGAGCGAATGGAATGAATCGAAGGGTCTAGAGGATAGGAGACAGCTAATACTTGGTAATGAAAGTAACCAAAATCCAACAAAATCTAGAATTTGTTTGGTTTAAGTATTATGAGTCGCGATGCGGATGGGGTATGAGTTAACTGGGATTCAGAGACTCCAAAGAAAAGAATGTGCTTGATCTTTTGATCCTACGTATATGTGGAATGAGTTGCGAGAAAGCATCCCCGTGTGGGATGTGGTTTTCTCTTTCCATAGACAAGACTAGAAGAGGTTTGCTCTGGTGTGCACATCATGTGGTTCGAAATTCTAGAGGATCAAATGAAGCTCTGGATCAAAAACCTGTTTAGTCGTGGAGAGATCAAGAAAAATGGCATATTGAGAGGCAAATGAGACAAATTGCTCGTCATAACTCTGTCCTTGTTTTGTTCTTGTTGGATGTAGAAACTGTGAAGATGACTAAATGAAGAATAGCGAAAGGAACGTAATCTCCCTTTGTTTTTGCAGCCTTGAATCTAATCATCCTTGAAACTAGAAAAACACTGTTGCAGGCACGGGCATTAACAATTTTAAAAGACTCCATTTCGTTAGAAAACTTCTGATTTCAAATTAATTGAGGAACATTTTTGGGTGATTTCTTCTTTAAAATTGTCTACATTTTCCCATTTCTTCTATTTGTTTTGAAGGATCTTGTAACATTGCGTTCGAAGTGTTTTCTCCTTGATTGTGGACTTGATTTGAGAGTTCTAAAGTCTTCTCATTGTGAAAGTATGATTGTTCCTGTTGATCATCATATATCTTTGTTACATTTTAATTTTCCTTGGTAAACAACGACTCAAGCAGCTTATGTAGCTGCTTGGTGGCTCGATAGGGTGAAATGCATTGATGATGTGCATGGTTAAGCTGTTCATGCAGCTGTTAGGTCGCTAATTATGGAGATCTACATGAAAGATGTGGCAAAATAATTATGCATCACATGGCAATTAACAAATCCATTGAGGCAAACCTTCACTTTATTTTTTTTTATAGATGGAGAGCTACATGATTGTTTCTGTTGATCTTCATTTATCTTTGTTAGTTTTTAATTTTCATTGGTAAACAATGACTCAAGCAGCTTATGTAGCTGCTAGGTGGCTCGATAGGGTGAAATGCATTGATGATGTGCATGGTTAAGCTGTTCATGCAGCTGTTAGGTAGCTAATTATGGAGAGCTACATGAAAGATGTGGAAAAAAAATTATGCATCAAATGGCAATCAACAAATCCATTGAGACAAACCTTCACTTTACTATTTTTTTATAGATAGATTTGGTCATAAAGGTAGTGCTCTGATGTTCAGTGAATTACCTTCTGTCATGGTATAGACAAAGGTAATATCTTGTTGGACTAACTGTTTGAGTGAAGCAGGAAATTGCATACATTGTTGTTAACTATAGTTTGGTCAGCTGATATTTTGTTCCTTCTGATTAGTATTCACATGCCTTAGTGGGTATGAATTGATAATAGACTTTGGTGATTAAGTGTTCTTATATCCGTTGGTCTTTTTTGTTCTTTTTTTCCAAAAAAGTTCTTGCCATTGGGGGGTCTCAGAAAAAAATGAAAAAGGGATCTATTTATGAAAGTGAAGGAGGTCACGAAAAAAGTTGGGGTTTAAAGCAAATTGCTGGAAGTATCACCTCTCCCTTTCTGGGAAATCTTCATGATTATAATATGCCTTTTATATCTCAGAAGGTGCTGTAGTTTTCACTTCTACTGTGTATCTGTAAAGATGGAAGGGAAACTCGTTATGTACTTTTTACCAACTAGTTGTAGAAATCAGCAAAGGTATCAACATGGTACCTAACTCTAGAGAGTCCACAGTCACATGATAAAGCTAAAACGTTAATTTCCCCTTCACCCAAGATTTAGGTGGCTAGCAATCAAATTCCAAGATATCAGGAGAAATTTTCACAACTTACATTCTTTTTTGGAATTCTTTGTCACTGCATAAGGAGGTGGTGCCTGTTATGAACCAACCAGTCAACAACTGATTCTTCTGCATGCACATCTAGAACATCTTATTGCTTATTAGCCCTTAGTTCATCGAGTCTAACAAGTCCAATGGTTATGTAGAAAGGCCAGTTTAACTTTAGATTATTCGGAAGTTTAACCCAGTGTTTGGACACATTCTTAGACTTAAATGCATTGATAGATATCCTAGATGTGTGGTCATATGAGCAAGCTCTTCGTGATTCAACTTCACTTTCTTTTATGACATTTTTACCTTCCTCGTTCTGCATTCTCAAGGGCCATATGAAGGTTTTGCTTGCCAAGGACATGTAACATGTCATATTTTCAAACCTTTCAAGGATGAAATACTTCATTCTTGTGTTTGCATCAGTATAAAATCTCAGTTATAAAAGCTAATGAAATTAGTCAACATCCATCGGTTTGACTGGGCTTTGAGAAATTCGAACCGGTTAAGTGACTTAAAAATCTATTGCAAGAGGAGTGAGATTAATTGTCATCTGATTTTGAGAAACTTCTAGTTTAGACCTACAAATATGCTTCTAGTGGATCAGAAAATGCTGCTTGAACATTTCCGGAGTAGCATTTGAAAGAATAGTAAGCTTAAACATTGCATCAACGATGGGAGAAAAATGCTCACTCATTAAATGTTACCTCTCAGTTTATTAAAGTGATGTTCGTGCCCATCTGAGAAAAATGTATATTTTGTGCATACATGTTATCAACGCTGCTGTTTTCATTGCGCGTTCCTGTTTTGCAGTATTACTATTTTGTATTTTGGCAAGGAAGAATCCAATTGTCGATTGGTTCCCCTGTTTGGTGAAGCCTTTGGGCCTGTGAAATTCCAATTTCAAAAAGGACTCGGTCAAAAATTTTGTCAGCCTTCGGGGACTGGCATTGACTTAGGCTTCTTTGAATTGGATGATCTCTCAAAACCATCACCTGGAGAGGATGTGTTTCCTCTTGTCATATCTGCTGAAACATGCGTACGGCCTCAATCAATGGATGACCCTCTAGTTAATCCAGTGCTGTGCACCTCCTCTCACACGCAAATAACTCAGGCTGTTCTGGAGAAAAATAATGGCGGTCCTTTTCACGTAAGAGTTATCAAGCAAATTCTCTGGGTGGATGGAGTTCGTTATGAGCTACGTGAGTTATATGGGTTAGGGAGCTCTTCGGCAGAGGGTTATAATGACAATGATCCAGGGAAGGAATGTGTAATTTGCATGACTGAGCCAAAGGATACTGCCATTTTACCCTGCCGACATTTGGTGAGTCTATATAGGATTTCTTTGCTGTTGACTTTACCAACACATCGTTTTGTCAATATTAATACTTCTGATCTGCTTCATATGCACATCTAATGTAATCTTTGCTAGATAATGATTAAGATGCTTACACTTCCACTAATATGTCTTTTTTGCTAAAAATTGTTAGCTCTGCCTACTTTCACCTGTCTGTCGTCAACTACAGTCATGTTATGATTTCGTTACAATGCTGTGCTCCTTTTCGTAGTTGGAAAAAACTAGTTCAAGTAATATGATGGGTTTAATTTATGCTTACGTACAATGTCCTTGGTTGACTTTAATGTTGAGGGTATGTTGCTTTTCATGTGGAATGTGGACGTCCATGATTAACAGCTCATTAGAGATTACGAAATAGGAAAATTTTCACGTTGCTTTAATTTTGTTGTTCTAGATATTACTTATACATTATGATTTGTTAATTTCTTTTCCCAGTGTATGTGCAATGAGTGTGCCAAAGCATTGACGCATCAGTCAAATAAGTGCCCCATATGCCGTCAACCAATCGAGGATCTGATAGAGATCAAGATAAGTAATTGTGAATTCTGAGAGGTTCTATTCTTACTAAATGGGATTGCAAGGCACAAATCCTATTTTTTGACTCCTCTTCGGTTCTTCCCATGAGGTTTATTTTCAGATGCGTGGGTTCTTTATGTAACTGTCATTTGTTCTCAACCCAATGCCAGCTGGCAGTAACTAAAATGTATATGTTCTACATGAATTTTTCACTTTGCCGGTGTTGAGAGGTCGTCTTAGTCCGAGATTGGTTGAGCTTGGAAAGAAGACCTGCACATATATGTATAGATGCATCAGCAACGAGCGGATGTTAGCTTTTATTCACGACAACTCTTTTGTGTAGTTTTATATTGAACTGAGCTTCTTGACAATGGTGTTGAGAGCAGTCCTTGTGTAAATGACACTGCTTTCCTCACTCACCCAGCGTAGTGTGTATGATGTGAAAGTAATTGTAATTTGTAAGCACTAGATATATGTATCCTAGTACTTATCAGTGATTTTTGTGACTCATAGAGAAACAAGTGGTATTTGTTTGAAAGGGCTTAAGCAACGCATTTTCTGTTCTTTCTTTAGCTTCTTTATGACTGGGGTGGTGAGTCAGACTGCAGAAAATGTTGGGTCGAGTTTTTTGGCGTTGATGTTCTGTGTTGGACTTAATTTGCTATAGTCTCAATAAGAGCCTAAAGAAAATATTGGGCCGTGGAATTTAGGAGTTAATATGACCTCTGAAGAATCTAGTTTCTGGATGGCCTCCAGAGTAAATTGCTCTCGAACATCCTAGGATGAAAGGCTCTACCGCAATGTTTTGTTTTCCTTCATTCGTATTAGCTTTGTATGTGAAGATGGGCACTCAGATTTTGGTCCTGCAGCAAAGGAAATAGATCTCTAGCTATGGTAGTTATTTTCTCACAAGCCTTTATTGCGATATTTAAGAAGTTGCCCACTCGTAGTGTTGATGAAGCTCCAAGTAATCGTCATAATACCATCCTAGCGCAGCAAAAATTGATGGATCTTTATCTTTTATGGCTCTGTAACGTCTTCTAGTAGAGATACCTGCAGGGTGAATTTCCTGAAAAACCCCCAACTTTAGGTCAAATTTCAAATCTGTCATGAACTTTTTTTTTTGTCTCGGAAAAAACTCCAAACTTTAAGCTCAGTTTCAAATCTACCCCGAATTTTGTTCTGTGTAAAAAAATCAGCAAATTTCAATTTATTTTAAAAAATATATCTCCGTGATCCAATCCCAACTTGATGTGGCACTTCTACCTCGATAGCAAATCCACATCAACAAAGTAATTGGGTGATAGGTACAGATCGGCGTCGTATTTCCACTTCAATAACAAATTCAACTCAATAAAAATTATTGAAATTCTCTACAATAAAACCATTCTAGGATATGAAAGTTAGGAACGATAACAAATCCATCCTAAAAAACTTTTTTTTAATTTAAAAAAAAACTTAATTTTTAGGTTCAGTCCAAATTTGCTCCGAACCTTTTTTGGTCTAAAACAAAGCTTCATTATTTTGTTGATGTGAATTTGTTATCGACGTGCAGGTGCCACGTCAAGTTGGGCTTGGATCACGAGGGTATATTTTTTAAAATAAATTGAATTTTGGTGATTTTTTTTACACAAAACAAAATTCGGGGCAGATTTGGGACTAGACTTAAAGTTTGGAGTTTTTTCTGAGACAAAAAAAAGTTCGGGGCAGATTTAGGACTTGACCTAAAGTTTGAGGTTATTTCTACGATAAAAAAAAGTTCGGAACAGATTTGGGACTTGACCTAAAGTTGGGGTTTTTTGTTAGGGAATTAGGCCGATATATGCATATCTCCAAGCTGAATTTACCGATATTCATAGTTGCCGATCTCTGCTTTCATTTTGTTTAAAATGGGTACATGAGAAATTGCAGAACGCTGTTTACAAATTTCCTAGTCCTTGTTAAATGCTATTTTGCTGGGACTTTGTGCATGATTTTTTAATGCTATTTTGCATCTATGATCTGATATTCTTTACCGCCTGTGCAAGTCACTCTCTTTTGAAGCTGCATGACTTGACCTACAGACTTCAAAAGATGGCAGTCTCTCCCAGCTCTTTTTTCCCAGAGAAGCAATGTGATGTGCTAAGAAGAAAGATCCCTGCCAATGACTCGACTAATTGAAAACGCCTAGCAGCAAAAAGAAAAAGAACAAAAAAACAGAAAACCAAGAAAGAGCAACCAGAAAAATGTCAAAAGTTGCAGCTACCTCATTTAAAATAAAGGTCAGGATACAGAAGTTTAAGTTAATCTAGACAAAAAGTTTTAAGGCCATTGATTCTGGTTGGTTGTCTGTTGTTTTCTCCTTGATCTTGAAACAGTGGTTAATTAGCAACATGAACCCTAAAGTGGGCCAAGTCACAAGATACTTCTGGAGATTTTTTTCCCTCACAAGCAGTTTGCGTTATGCAGACTCTTGTTGGTTGAGCTGTGCATATATGCATGTATGTGTGTGTGCGTGCCTGAGAATTTAATGCCTCAGGGGGTTGAAGGAAGTGACGGCAGGACTATGTGGGCATGTAAGTTAGAAGTCCCATTCATATTCCCTCTCTGTCATCAGTCACTGTCTCAACTCCATGTGGTGCTCATGTGGAAACCCTGACCTGAACCCAACAAGGTGGTGGTGATTGGCAAAGTTCTTCGAGCTCACACAGCAAGGGGGCGATTCCCCGTTTTCCTTTTAAGAAGCACGAGACAAAAGAGCGCATGTTCAAATCAATATCCCAGTTCATGGTAAACTCCTCCACCAACCGAAAATATGTACTTGTTGCCTAACAATGAGGGAAACCCAAAATGTGTGAAGACCCTTTTTCTTGTTGTTCTAGTGTTAGCTGCCAAAGATCCAACCACAAGTCCCATGCTGGTTCGATCCGTCCTTCTGGTGTTTTGGGGTCCGTCACCTACTGCTTACCCCATCCCCTAAACATGGAAAATTCCCGCCCGCCCATTTAATGAGCCTAGTTTTATGTATGTTACAAGAACCAGCTCGACGTGATAAGACATAATTAATATTGAGACAAGCATACACGATCCTTAAGTCGATCTTTTCTACGGTTCAGTATCAGGGTACTTCTATTACGTGGACTTCTATCGACCAAAATTGTAAGCCGAGGAGATTTTCTCGATTTTAATGGATCCCAAAGGTTTTTGATGGCTGTGACCACATGTGGGATCTCTTTTTCGTTCTTCACTTTGAGTTTTTACTTGTTTTTTTCTTTTGTCCTGGGGACAAAATTTATTGTTGAGTTTAGGTAGACATCAATCTACGGCAAAGATGGCTCTCTATGCACAATAATGTTAGCGGCTACTCATGTACAAAACTGAAAATTCTCACAAGCACATTATCTCACCCTACTTCTGTGCTTCCTTCCCTTGGCGTCCACCGTCCGCTTTTTCATCAAGGGGGTTTAGGCTTTTTTAAGGACAGCAATAATTTGGTCAAGCGAAAAGCGAAAGAGTATATAAACCAAGAGAAAATAGATAAAGCCCTTCTTGAAGACCCCCCCTCCTTTTGCCTAACCGTGGTTAAAGTGATGGGAGAAAAGAGCACAGCTACAGGGCACCATTATAGCGGTGAGGTTTTGTCTTAATCAGCAGTTGCTTAACCTAATATAACACGACCTACAGCTACCCAGAAATGCTTTTGAAGCTCACCAGAAAAAAGTTCAGCAACCGTCTATAGCTACGAACTTTCTTGGCACATGACCTTAGGTAGAAAGCAGTCCATAGCAAGACATTGAGGATCATCACCCCTTGTTTAATCACAGCCTCAAACCGGATTTGTTTGAAAAAAAAATTCTATCAAGATCGCTACGTACCCGATTGGTCGAGAGACTTTCTTGACCATAAGACTTATGTTAAGCACCGTTTTCATTTTCATCTCCCGCGAGATTTTAGCTCCTTTTCCTTTCTGTTTTCGTGCAATAAATGTCAATGTGCTGTATGCTCATTAATGTTGTTGGCATGGGTCAACACTCGGGCAAAACTGCTGCTTCAAGGAAGAAGTACACAGAAATACAAAATCATTCATCGAGCCAAGATTGCTTAGTCATCACTCATCGTAGCATGCCCAAAATACAATCTTCAACTTTGGATTTGAAGTTATCTGTTCATAATTGTGATAAGGATGAGTATGAAACTAACCTTTACTCAGATGAATTGACCGTGACATAATAATTATCCATGAAATTTCACTATTCAATATTAAACAGTATTTTAAAAAAAAAGTAAAATGATATATCTACCTTGCACCTACATCAAACTTACCATTTCGATCTGTCACATTGAGATGCATGAGTACATGAAGATTAGGTTCTTTTTAGGAGAATCATCAGGTTTGAGAGTCTTACTCTATAGAATGCCTCATCATTCGGCTGGGCTAGTCACTGAAAATTTACTAAATTTCAATTATTGCTCGTGTTAATCTGTTGGCACGATTTATGGAAACCATAATTTTCATTGAATAGTATATAAAATACGCACTTTATATTCTTTAGGTAAATCGTATTTCAATAACATCGTTCGCCGTTCTTTATTCCCAGAAAAAACAAAGGAGGGTATTATGTTTAAAAGGCTGGCGACGTTTGTAACCCGTAGATTGGATAATTCTAGAGTAATCATCTAGCGGAAAAAATCGAATATACTTAGTTTTCAAATTGAGATGATGTATTTGATATTGTTGATCCTATAGCAACTAGTAGGACAGTAGCTCATTTCATTGTAGGGCTGCGGGGCTACTATATCCAAAAAATAATAATATTGAGGAAGTATATTCCTGTTAAAAAGTATACAAAGCGCCAGAGAATTTACTGTCCAAGACAGTCTAATTCATCCCTTTGCAATCAATGTAAACAGCAGAGTGCTCAGTTTAAACGACATACATTGTATGCGAGAAGACTGTTGAAGAATAGCACATTTGATGCGATTGCAATTTGTTCATTGCAGGGACAATTAATTTTTATTTTTTAATTCTTCCCTTGATGGGAAAGTTAATGAAGTAGGAGAAAGATGCCAAAAAAAAAAAACAGACATCAACTCAAGCCTGCTAGAGGAAGGAACCTACAGGTGAACATTACAGGCATTGACCAGAAATTTTCTGGTGCATTGTTCTGTACCTAGAGAAAATGGGAATGAGCAATAGCAAGTGTATATCTAAACCTTAGATCGCATTATTTATTCCATAATTGTGTTCCCTAATCTCAACAATGATCAGTTCTTTTTCTCATTGAGGCTAAGCAAGAAATTCTCATTGTGAAAGAGCAAACCGTAAGTCATAAAAATTTGTCGAGCACCGAGAAGGAGAACCCTTTTGCTTTACTAATTACGATTGAGCGCGATTATAAACTAGAACCCGAGGGGTGAGGCGGGCTTATACACGCATCTGAGACTATAAGTCTGAATGATAAGAAAATTAATTTAATTAACTGTACCAGCACAGCATTATGAGATGTGTCTGGCCAAAAAGAATTAAGAGATGTGGGTTAACAACTTTATCTATGTTAAGAGATTGACCAAAATGCAGCATAAGGCTTATGAAATCTTTCTTTTTCTTAAATTTGGACCCTGGTCAAAAGATATTGTCTTAAGATGTAAAAACAAAGATTGGCTGAACGAGGAATGAGAGATGGGTCAATGAGATTCACTTTACTCAACTCAAATCCAGGATTCAGAACAGAAGAGGGGATAAGAGTTTATTTAATATTTAGTTTGCTTTCTCAAGGGGAGGATAAATTGGTCATTCAGGGGGAAACAACCCACTGTAAGAAGGGACAAAGAACAGTGAATATTCAAATAATTATTCAATATGGTCCCATTTTCAGGTCCATTATTTAGTGCTCACCCAATTTGGGGAGAAGAAATTCTGAAGGTGTCTGACAGAGTTCATTGACATATGCTGATAATAATTACTGCGAAAGTTTTATTTTTTAAAATGGAATAACAAATAGAAATGACAAAAACAAGGAAAAAAGAAAAGGGAAGCAGAGAAATACAGGGGGGTCTCTCTGAGTTCTGAAACAAACTCTCACCATGGCTTATTTATGAACCCTGCAGAGCCTCCATGGTGAAGCTAAGCCCAAGACACACCAGTCACGCACACTGACTTCCAAGCCAAGCTAATTAGCCAGATTGGCCATGGTTAAGAGGTTTACGCACATATCTGCTCGGGGAAGGAGGCCATAAAGAAATCCCCATAAATAAAGAGGCTCAAAAGAAAAGGATAGTGTGTCGAGAGAAGCCTTGAGGAGCAACACCCTCCTCCCTCTCTCTCTCTCTCTCTCTCTCTCTCTCTCTCTGTGTGCCAGTCTAGCAATCTTTTTAGCCCGCCCTCCTCTCTCTCTCTCTCACGCCCCTGAAATAGAGGAGGCAGAGAAATCAGAGGAGTTTAATGTGCACCCACATCTCCTGAAACCTCTCTCTCTCTCTCTCTCTCGAAAAACTGAAACTTTCTTGCTGCATTTCAATACTCTGCTCAGAGACAAACCCTTTGGACCATTTGGGTTTTCCTCTTCATTTCCTTCTGGGGATTACTCTGAAACGAAAGCCTATCTCAAAAGAAAGAACAGAGGAACGCCCTTTGTGGAGCTCTTCCAATTAAAACACCTACACCTCTCTCTCTCTCTCTCTCCCTCTCTTTCGGCTGCTTCTGTTTGTCAGATCTGTTTTAGGACCCCCTCTCCCTCCTTTTCTTATCTTTTCAATAACTGTGTCCCGGTTTGTGCCATTTAAGTGGAACTCAAATGAGTAAAGAAGAGTTCTTGAAGATCCAGGTACGCATTTCGTCCCTCCTAACTCAGCTCATTGGTAGTTTTCCCTCTTTACTTTGCCTTGTTTTAAGCTCAAGAGTCATAGATGATAGTTATTGGGACTTCACGTGTTACACAGTTTGTGTGTGCGCTCTGTTTTGCCCTGTGAACTAATCTCTCTTTCCATGCTTGGTAACCACTTTTCGGAATGAAACGAAGCATAGGAAGCTTCGTTTCATTCTTTTTTCCTTCTAGTATTCTTTTGTTGGAGTGAGAGGAATAGTTCTTTACACCTGTTTTTGTTCTTTGGGTTTGCTTGTGCATGCAGACTTGTGTTCTAAAAGTGAACATACACTGTGATGGCTGTAAGCAGAAAGTGAAGAAAATCTTGCAGAAAATTGATGGTATTACGCCTTTTTCAGTTCCAGTCCTCTTTATTTTATCTTATTATTTTCTTCAAGCCTCTCTCTCTCTCTCTCTCTCTCTCTCTCTCTGGATTTTAGTTAGATTTATCTCGAACCTCCACTAAAAAATTCTTCCCGTGAAACTATAGCAATTCTCAGTTCAAGTATACTCATCGCCTTCAATTAAAGAAATTTCTTGGTTAATTTTTCCTTTTGTTTCTTTTCTTTTCGGTTGGTGTGTTCAGGGGTTTTCACCATCAAAATAGATGCAGAACAGGGCAAAGTGACCGTTTCAGGGAACGTGGACCCAGCTCTACTCATCAAGAAGCTCAATAAATCAGGCAAACATGCAGAGCTTTGGGGTGCTCAGAAGTCCAACAACAACAACCTCAACAACCAGTTCAAAAACATGCAAATTGACAATGGCAAAGGTGGCAACAAGGGCCAAAAGGGGGGCGGGGGCGGAGGCGGGGGCGGCGGCGGCGGCGGAGGCGGTGGAAACAACCAGCCTAAGGGTGGTCAGAACCTCCAGAACCAGCAGCTTCCACAGCTCCAGCAGCTTCAGCAGCTCCAGCAGCTCCAGCAGATGAAAGGGTTCCAAGATCTCAAGCTGCCCCAATTCAAGGACCTGAAGATGCCCTTCAAGGACCCGGGTCCGAACCCAAACCAGAAAGGAGGGAAATTCATCCTGCCTGAGGATGAGGAATTCAGTGACGATGAGTTTGATGATTATGATGAGTTTGATGATGAGTTTATGGATGATGAGGAGTTTGATGATGACTTGGATGATGCCCACCACCAAGCACTCAACAAGATGAAGCCAGTGATGGGCAATGGCCAGATGCCCAACATGATGATGCTAAATGAGATGATGAATGGGAATCATGCCCAGCAGCTCTTGAATGCTCAAAAGGGTGGGGGAAATGTCGGAGGTAGTGCTGGTAATAATGGCAAGAAAGGTGGCGGTGGCGGTGGTGGTGTGCCTATTCAAGTGGGTGGTGGTAACAATGATGGCAAAAATGGGAATGGTGGGAAAAAAGGTGGAGGAGGAAATAATCAAAACCAAGGTGGTGGTGGAGGTAAAAATGGTGGCAAGAACGGGGGTGATGCCAAAAATGGTAACCATGGCGGTAACCCTAACAACAAGAATGGCGGTGGCGGTGGCGGTGGCGGTGGCGGTGGCGGTGGCGGTCCCAGTGGCAACATCAATGGGAACGGTGGCAAAAAGGGTGGCGGAATGGAAAACGGGTTCCTCCACATGGGTGGTGGTGCTAATGGTAGTGGTGGGCAGATGGGTGGAATGAAGATTCCAATGGGTCATCAAATGGGCAGCATGCCAACAGGGCAAATGAGCAATTTCCCGGCTGTCCCAGGCCTCCCAGCCGGCTCACTGGGTGGCGGCGGCGGAGGAGTGGGTGGAGTGGATGGCTACTTCCACAGTGCCAGGCCGGAGGCCATGCCCGGAAATCCTTACCAGCAGCAGCAGCAACAGCAGCAACAGCAGCAACAGCAGCAGTACCTAGCTCAAGTGATGAATCAGCAGAGGGCTATGGGCAATGAGAGGTTCCAGCCCATGATGTACGCCCGGCCACCGCCAGCTATCAACTACATGCCGCCATACCCGAACCAGTACCCGAACCCATATGCCAGCTCGTACCCATACCCATACCCCCCGCCGCCCCCCCACGCGGAGGGGTACAGCTACTTCAGCGATGAGAACACATCAAGTTGCAATGTGATGTGAGAAACTTTGCTTCTAGATAGAGTTGCTGCTGCTGAAGGGGGTTTTTGGTCTTTTAGCAAGAGTTTGTGGTGGTTATGGTGGTTGTGATGGTGGTGGTGGTGGTGGTGGTCTCAGCCACTGGTGAAGAACTGGAAATCTCATGTTATATCATACTTGCCAATGGGGTTTTTATCTTTTCCTTTTAAAATTTTAGTGCCCTCTTTTTTCCCCTCCCTCATATCCTTAAGCAAAGATGTAGGGTTATCAAATTTCTGTAATAGGGAAGTAACTATAGATAAAAGGTAATGTAAGTTTCGTTAGGGGAGGTACTCTGAGATATGTATGGTGGGTGGGGTTAGTGGGCCTTTCTTCTTCCTCTCTTTGCTTTTAATCTATGAGATGTTTATATGTGTTTATATGCTGGAGACATAATAAAATATGAAGGAAAAAGAGAATGGGGGTGACCAAAACAGTGCCCTTTTCCTCTCCTCAAGATCTCAAATGCCCTTATAAACAATCACATCAACCTTGCTCAAACTCATCTGGAAACCAAATGGAATTGTCCCTGCACTTCCACTTTGCACCTAACCATACCACCACTTCTAACTCCCGAAAAACCCAAAAGAAAGAACCGGGCAGGAGAAGGAGGGGAGACTGCAGATGGGAGGGGTTTTGGTTTTTAGATCATATGGAGGTTTGAGTGCTGGTGGGGCTCACACTCATCAGTCGCAGCAAAAAGAGGCGGGGCCCAGGCCAAGGCCATTCAATAGCCGTGAATATTATTAATGCGGGAGGGAGGGACTTAGGGTGTGGGGTTGGGGACCCGCTCCTCCTCTGTGGTTTTTTGCAAAGATTAAAGAAACCAAAGACATGAGGCATTGTTATTGGGGATGCTGTTCACGTACACTTTAGTGAAAGTCACTGTGGCATGGTGGTCAGAGGGAAGAAGAGAGAGAGAGGAGGAAAGAAATGCAAGTTCTCCCTCTCCTCTCTCGCACTTACAGAAAAGCCCACAAGAGGCCAAACTGCCTTTATTGTGCCTGAGCTTTGCATAGAGAGAGAGAGAGAGAGAGAGAGGGGCGTGTGTGTGTGTGTGTTTGACAGGGACAAGCTAACAACTTTATTTTCGAAAATCTAACGGCGTTGACACTTGACACGAATTCCGGTAAGCGTCTGGTCTAATCAGTGGAAAGAGCATCAGAATATGTGTTAACGTATGAAATGTTACAGAGAGAGAGAGAGAGCGGGACAGAGGGACAGAGAAAGAAACAGAGACGGGGCCAATCCAATTCCTATGCTGCTACAGCCATGAATGAATGATCATCCAAAAGCTCAAAGGGGTTCTGGATATGTCACATGATGATCATCATCAGCATCACAACAACAAAAGAGAGAGCAGAAAGAAGAAGAAGAAAAAAAAAAGGGATGAAACAATATACACAGAAACGAGAGATGGATTGAACCAGAAAGAAAATCTCAAATGAAAATCTAGTCTATCTGTCTAATCAAATGGAGAGAGAGAAAGAGAGACGTGGGTCTTTCAGTACGCCCCCCTCAGCCCTTGTGCAGAGGCCAAAAAACAAAAGTGCTGCACTGCAACTGCACCGCACTGCACTGTTCTCCTCTTTTTACTCTCTTTCAGCAGAGCTGTGTGTGTAGGGTTCATGAGCTCCACTGGCTCCCCCATCCATGGCTGCCTGCCCCCCAAAGTCAACATGGCTGAATCCCGAATGTCAAATTGGTCCTTTTCTCCCCTTTAATCTTTCATCCTTTTTTCACCATTTTTCTTCTCTTCTTTTTCCAAATCTTGGTGTGTGGACCGTGGAGGGGAAATGCATTTCTTCTTTTTTCTAAGTAATTGGGATCTTGGGATATCCAAACTTTTTTAATATTTCTGGACGGTACGCACCACAACAACATGCACGCAGCACTTTGGTTACTGTGATGTGAGGGAATATAATGCCATTTAAAAAAAATTCGAATGATGTCTTCTAGGTCATTTGTGCATATTTTAGAACCCATTTGTGAGTTCCATTCTCACCTTCACCACTTTTCCATCCTAAAATGTGAAAACCATATTGAGTTTTTGTGAGTCTGTTTGATTTTTCATAACGAAATGTCAAAAGTAAATGTTTCTTTTTTTCCATCAAAATCGAAAATTCTATCATCCGAATATGTGAATTTATATGTCCATATTAACAGTTGAAAGTTTCTAGATTTTTTTTTTGTTAAATAACGAAACAACACGCGCCGATAGATAGCAAAAGTCAAAAGTAAAAGGCGAAAGCCGCTTCAAACAAATTCATTTTGCTTCTAAAGCTTTAGGGTCTACTACTTGTCATATCTTCTCTCGAAGTGCTTTTTAATTTTCCTCCTAAATATTTTGAGAGCTACAAAAGAAAAAAAAAAAGAAACCGATTGTATGAGTGAGACTATACACATACCAAAAGTCCAACTAATCCTCAAATTCTTGGACACTTTAATTTTAAAGAAAAGTCAAAATCTCCATAACTCTACCCAAATTGGGGAAAAAAGAAAAAAAGCGAGGCGAAAAGCGATAATAACTCCAAACCAGATGTCTACACTTTAGGCGCGACGGTCCGCTGATACGACACGAATTGCGGCCCGAAATTCGTGAATTTCAATAAAGTGGAAAGGGTGAAAAAAGGTGCAGGTGATAACATTGGAGGGCCATCTCCAGAGTTAATTTTCTTTCGCCCTACCAAAAATAAAAAAACAAAAAAAAATAGGTAATTTCCATTTTTTGGGAAAACGAAGGAGTTTCTTTCGGAAGCGAAGACTTTCGCGTTTCATGCTTTTGGCAAGCTTAACATATTTTCGGACAACAATTAATGCGGCAGCTCGAGATCCGAAATCTTCTCCGCCTGTTTGGTTACGGGGTCAACTTGTTCCCGCGCCCGGATTAGCTTATCCGTATCCAGGAGCAAACCAATCTCCGTCGTGAAGCTTTTTTTGTTAGCTGGAGGAGGCAGGACCGTTTCGATCTTCGAAGCACGGTTACGTCGCGTGAGATACGAAGTGTCGTTTGGAACTCCGGACTTTTCTTTTTTCGGTTGCGAGGAAAAGTGGTTCGACCCAACGAACTGGATGCTTCGCTTCCCTTTTTTTTTTTTATTTGGGTTAATATCACGAGAAATTTTAAATTGATGTACCTGTGATAAATTTACTCTCATTTAGTTTTTATTAAATTGTACCGTCAAATTATTGAATTGGATGACATGTGGTAATTGACGGGTGTACCGGTTTGAGGTTTTACCCTTTATTTATCACAGATATATCAGTTTGTGATTTTTCATGGTATTAATCCAATTCAACGGAAACTGACAGATGATAAATTTGTCACGAGTGTACCGGTTTAGAGTTTTCAGTTGTTAAAAAATTAGTTTGGAGTAAATTTATCACCAGTGTACTGATTTGAGAGTTTTTTGTGATCAAAAAATTAGTTTGAGATAAATATGTCACATGTGTATCAGTTTGACGTTTTTCGTCGTATTAGCCCTTTTTATTTTTTGGATCGGACATTGAACTTAAAGCAGGAACGTATTCCGGCGAAAGAGACTAGAGAAGTGCTTATTTTAATGATCTACTAAATCGATATTCATTCCGAAGTTCCGTTCGATTGGGGTTCACGGCACGATTTCGACGACTCATCGATACGGGTTCTTTTCGGTAAGATTTCGATTCTTTGTTTAGGGTTTGATTCGATTTTCAAAAGCCGGTTCAATCAAGCCTGAATCGAACCGGACTGGACCGGACCGAGCTGACCCCCGAGATTCGTTGCCCAACTCGGGAAACGCACTGCACGTGCGACTGTCCCGGCACGTGCGAGGAGAACTCGTGTGAGGGGGGCTTTGACGGGCGGGTGGGGAGAGTGTCACGTGGGAAGGTCAAAGGAGGTTGCATGGGAATGAGGAAGTGAGATTTGCGTTTTATTCGTTTGGATGCATTTGGTGTGCAGAATAACATGCATCTCTATCTTACCAATCTAATTTAATGTCGTTGTTTCCTTTCCTAAGTTTAATGTTAATTGTACCTTCAACGCTTGTTGTCCGTTTTTCCACCTTTCTTTTTTCTTCTTTTCTTATTCCAATGCTTTCATTCTTTTTAAGCGCGTCCTTAGGCTGTCAATGTCACAACGTGAGATCACTCGTTAACTCGTCCGTCAAAACTTGGAATATCATTCACGACATCCGTCCAAGTCCCGCTTCCATTATAATGGCCAGCTTTCAAATGGTCGGTACCTAAACCTTGCTCCTGAGGGTACGACCCATGTGAATCAGGGTCCGGCAGTCGCAAGTCCTGTGTTGAGCGTGAGCAGATATGCGATATTATCCGTTAAGTAAAAGTACGTTTTATCCGTGAATGTCGTTTCGAAATGGGAGATCGTTAACAGTAAACTGCATTTTTTTGGCTAAGTCCGCATAATGGGTTTTCATCGCATAATGTTCCTTCGCTTATTAAAACAATGCCAAAGGTACTCCCTCGTTTTTCTTTCTTGTCTGCCCCACCCACTCGAAGTCAAAAGCTCTCGACTATAGTTCTTGGGCTAGTGCAGTCCTTGGCATAGGAAAACTAGCGTTGGGGACATTATCAATTCGTACTATAATGCTTCTTTATTTTCTTGCCAAGGCAAGTTTGATATTTAAAGAGATTATTGTACTTTATGTCGTTAATTTCGACGACATAGGAAAAAAATCTTAGGCAAGAAAATAATCGAGAGACGCCCGCGATTAATTACCTTCTTTACACTTTCGTGAGAACGCGAAACGCGTTCTATGAAACTGGAGAACGAGGAGATGTTGTCTTCCTATGTTTTCAAAGTGAAATGAAAGAAAAACAGTAAGCGATAAATTTTTTATCATCTAATATAAAAAAGTATAAGTTGAAAGTAGAGATAATGGCACAAATAGTCCTTGAATTTTTGCTCAATGTACAATGTGGTCCATAAACTTTCAATTTATTTAATGCGGTCCTTGAACTTTATCCCGATATATAATGTGATCCCTGAACTTTTGGTATATATTCAAATTAATCTCTAGAAGATATAAAAATGTTTAATGTTGTCTCTGAACTTAAATTAATAGAAGAACAACATTGGTCATTTTCATATAGTCTAGGAACTAGTTTGAACATGTACCAAAAGTTCAAGGACCATACTGAAAAGATTAAAAGTTCAGGATCCACATTGAACAAATTGAAAGTTCATGGATCACATTACACATTTGGCTAAAGTTCAGAGACCATTTGTGTCATTTTCCTTTGAAAGTAATATACCGAACCTGCTTGAGACAAACCAAAAGTTTGAATGCGAGAAACAAATGATATTTTCACTGAAAATGCTGACTAAAAATAACGAAGTGATATATAAATATTTTTTGAATCTTTTAGCAGTCGA